GTAGGGAAACCAGTGCCTGGTGGGGTGGAGGGAGGCCAGACACTTCCTCCTAAAAAACCCTCATCTGGTTCAATTCCATTTTCTAGGAAGTGAGTGGAGATACGTGATCCTGTCCACTGTGCGCTCCTGCCCCCGCTCGGAGATCGATTGGAAGCCCACGAAGAGCTGGCAGAAAAAGTACCTGGGGTTTGTTACCGACCCAAACCAGGTCAACGTCGGCATCACGCGAGCTCAGGAAGGACTCTGCATCATAGGTGGGTCTCCTGGGAGTGTGCACAGGCCTGCAGGGGCACACGGTGCTTGGATAAAGAGGTGGGAGTCCAAACTAGGACAACCCATGGCCTTGCTTTACTCTTCTGCCCTTTAGGCTCTTCGTGGGTGTAAAACTGGGCAATATGGGCAAAGCAGAGGGCGTGCACGGGTCAGGGGCAGCATTTATCATTATTTTTTTTCCCCCTCTGGCTCAGACTGTGTTGTTTCTGCCACTTGCACACTAGAGCTCCCTCCTAGCAGAGTTTGGTGCTTGTTTTCCTCCTCACCAGCCAGGCTGTGATGTGTGGGGGAGCTGCTCGCACAGATGGCAGCGCTGAAAAGGGAGCTGGGATTTCACAGGGATCTGGCTGAAGGAAATGTCCCTGCACGTCTGGTTCAAGTCACCATCCCTGAGGGTATTTAAAAGCCATGTGGATATGGTACTCAGGGACATGGTTTAGTGGTGACCTTGGCAGTGCTGGGTTAACACTGGGACTTGGTGGTCTTGAAGGTCTTTTCCAACCAAAATGATTCAATTATTCTAAGTTATCCCACCCCCTTAGGCTAGAAATGTTAGACAAAAGCTTCTGTGATGGTACTGTCTGACCTTCTGGCCACTAACCCACTGCCCCATCATCCCTGTGCCCACAGGGAACCGGTACCTGCTGGAGTGCAACCCCTTGTGGAGGAGACTGCTCCAGCACTACCGACAGCACCGCTGCTACACCACAGCCCAGGGGATTTGTATCAGGAAGACTCCAAGCCGCCGGCAGTGAGGATGGGTCCTACCTCCAGGAGCTCATCCCTCTCTCCCTGAACTGCATTTCGCGTGCCTTGGGAAGGACACAGTCTGTCCCTGGTGTCATGACCCATGGAGCCAAACGCAGCAGGGGGGACTCAGGCTCTTCCCCTGCAGCGCCCGCTCTGGCGTCCTGGGGATTCTTCATCAGCGCAACCTTGGACAGGGACTTCCAGCTCTAGCAAACCAAAAAGCATTGGAAATGGATGGATGGGTGTGTGACTTTCTTGAGGATGACAGGGTTTTTTTAATGGTAAGATGCTCAGCAGAGCCACCCCACCCCATCCTACCTGCCAGTGCAGCTGCGCTTTGGGGACCAAATACTCGGTCCATTCGTCGAGGGTGGAATGACTGCAAGGACTGTGGGCAGCAGAGCTGCCTGTGCCACAGAGGACCAAAGCTTCAGAGTACTGCCACTCGTTTTTAAACCAAGGCCAAGGAATTTTTAAGGCTTTTCATTTCTCAAAGCAGAAAACCCACTTGCTTTGTTTTAAGTTGTTGTTGTTGTGTGTTTTTTAAAGTGAAGGAGGAAGGCGAAGAGAGAGCCACGTGCTGCTCTCTGAGCATATAAATAGCACAGAGCCAAGGCCAAGTTGATTGTGTAAATAGATTTCCTTACTCTTTGTACAAAAGAGATTGTCCTCACCAGTATAAGTTAGTGAAAAGTGAGGACCCCTCTGCCCAGGAAATGTTGGATTTTTTAAGCATATTTTAAACTGTTCAGAGTTTTATTTGAAATCTCCTGGAAGAGCCACCCCCTTTCCTACCCCATATATTTTTTGTTAAAGCTGCTTCAAATTTATTAACTTTTAACTCTATGAATTCATTTCACAGCCTTACGGCCTGAGTCTTTCAGAGCAGGGATGGCAATTTCATCCATGTACCAGAGCATGTGTGTGTGTATGATCTATCTTTTTTTAATTTTAAGTAGCCAAACTGCTGTGAACTGGGAGATTCTCTGGAGGGAGCTGCCTCTGCCCTGTGCTGCATGGCTGGTGCAGATGCACAGGGTGAAGTGGTGCTCTCTGCTGAATCATGGAGCTGCTTTTTGAAGCGTGGTGTTTTTGAGGGAGGGGTGTCTTTTAGCTCATTTCAATAGTGAATGTATGAAGTGCCTGCCTCAGCTCCCCCCCTGGAGCATATACTTGGCTGTGTCTAGATGTTCACGTGGGAAGGAGCCAAGATGCAATCCGGGTGGTTTTGCACCAAGTAGATACTGTGCTGGGATATGAGCCCTCCTTGGTGACAGGGTCCCTGTGACCTCACAGCCCTGTGGCAGGGAGTTTTGTCCCATGTTTGCAGTGGAAAATGCAGCATGGTTTTCCCAGCTTGGAGGAATGTGCAATAAGAAAGTGTTTTGTCTGGAGAAGTCCTTATTTAACGCTGTGTTCCTCCTCATGACTCTCTTAGACTTGATTCAAGAACCTAGGGAGAAATATTGTCATTCTCTTCCTTATTTTAAACTACCTTTCTGCACTTCTGCACTGAGTGGGTTTGATCCCTATGCTAGAGCCCACCCAGGCTTGTCCTACTGAAGTGTAACAATGAGCATAAGGCTCGTGATTCCATAAGGGACATAAGTCCAGAGGAAGGACGTCCTGCTGGTGCTAAAGATGCTTGGTAAGAGCTGGTGAGATGTAAAGTTCATTGTTCTTCTTTGAAGTCACCCCAGCTGGGAGCTGAAAAGGTTCCACACCAGCCTGATTTTGCAAATAATATTGCAATTCCAAACTAAGCTCCCCTGGGAATTGTTTTGCAGACTGCTGAAATGCAGTGGTGTATCTCCAAGAGGATGTGGAGGATTGCAAAAGATGCAGGAATTGTTGGGATAAATCCTTTTGTGTAGTGCCAGCATCATTCTAACAAAGTCACCTTGGTCCCTTTAGAACCAGCAGGTCTTATTTTCACCATCTAATGTAGGTGGAGAGTCTGCCCTCTGTTTGTTTTGGGGTTTTTTTGCTGGTTATTTCATGACATTTCATGACATTTCATTACAAATGAGACTCACCCCACATGTAGTGGCTGAGTCCAGTGTTCTTGTCTGGGGTTTGGCCACATTTTTGTCTAGACCAAGAGAGAAACCTCACAAAGCATCTCTTCCCTCTCCATGGGGAAAAAAATGTTTACTGCTGCTCTTTGAAGGGTAAAGCCTGGACTGAAACGCTTTGCTTGGTCACTTCTGTGTTACAAGACAATGTATATTTTATTTTTGTTTCCCTCTGAAGGTGTATTTTGTAACTGGTGTTGAGAAACCACTGCCCTAGAGCACCCAAAGAGCAGAAATAGCCAGGCTGGACTCTGGGGCTGCTTGGGCTGTGAGCAGGTACCTGCAGAGTTGGTGACAAAGCTGCCAAAGTCAGGGATAGCAGGAAGTGCAATTAGTCATATTTTTAATAGACTGTCAGTGACAGCTGGATATCATGTTCTTGTCCTTATGCTCATGGTTAGAGAATCATAGAGGTTAATGTAGGGAGAAAACTTCAAAGTCTTCTGTTTGCATCTGAATTCACTTTTGAAAGAATGTTTATGTTTAAGCACATGTTCTTGAAATACTTACAAGAAACCAAACCCACCAAAGCTTTGGTGATTCCCGCAGCACAGGGTGTCTGTCCCAGCACAGGCTCTGCGGTTCCTGCAGCTCACAGACAACAGGACGTTGTTGCAGGACACACATGCTGGTTCATCCAACAGGATAACTTGATTCCCTCAGCACCAGCTGGAGCTGGAGCCCAGGATGAGCCTTGGGAACCTGCCAGGTGTTGGTCTGTGATGGTCGCCCTGTGTCCGGCAGGGAAATTCCAGCGGTCCAGAGCTAGGAGACCTCTCCTTGGCTCTGCTGGCACAGGAGAAGCCCACTGGGCTGTTTTTTTGAGGATTTGGACAGGTTTGTGTAGGACAATCAATTTTCTGCAATAAATTGTTCGATTGTTTTTTAAATAGGAATGAAATGTTAAGTCTCATGAAGTGTAAATGAAGGAACCCTCAGTGTGGCAGGTTTTTATCTTTCGTATGTCTGTGACTTGCAGCAAACCTCAAATGATGTTTTGGATACAAATATTTTTACCTGCTTCTACCATTTCTATGAATTGAACCTCAACATTCCTCTTTTTTTTTTTTTTTTTTTTTATATTTAAGCCATAATTGTAAGAATGATTTGAATTTATTTAAGTAATAAATTTTATTACTGGAAGGTTGGTGTATGTGGTGGTTTGACTGGACAGACTCTGTGGGGAGAGCTGCATGTGGGCTCAACCAGGTGGTAAAAAAGGAAATGAGTGTTAAGGCCCCATCCCTGGCAGTGTTGAAGGGCAGGTTGGATGGGGCTTGGAGCAACCTGGCCTGGTGGGAGGTGTCCCTGCCCATGCAGGGGGGTGGGACTGGATGGTCTTTAAGGTCCTTCCAACCCAAACGATGGTGATAACTGCAGTACATGGCAGAAAAGATTCTTTCCTACATATTGGTTATGTGGATATATCACCCTTCCCTGTTTGTTGTGGAGGTTCTGGGGGGGTCGTTGGGGTTTTTTGTTGTCGTTTGATTTTTTTAATCAGAGAGATCTTTTCATGCACCACAGAGGATTGAACATGAAATGATGCTGAGGTACCTACAAGGCACAGGGTGTAGAGGGTGAGAGGAACCAGAGAGGGACGTAAGGTGAGTGATTTGAAGAGCTTAGAAATCAGTTCCAGTGTTTTGGAGGAAGGATGTGGGAGAAAACAAACTAACTAACTAACCTGGGGTAAGCAAACAAAAACGTCATTGCAAGAAGCTGCCACTGGGCACCTTTCAGTGGCTGGAAAGCACTGGATGATGGAGATGTCTCTGTCTTCTGTGTTTTACATCTGAGGTGTCCTGCAAGGCTGCCTGCTTCCAGCTGCTCCCACCTGGCGGGTCTGGCAGCAGGAAGTGAAGTGTTGAGTCCCAAATTCAGCCTATGGATGTTGTTTTGTGTGAGAAATTTGGAATGGGTCACAGTTAACCTGGAAAGATTTGGGGAAGGTGCTTGTACAGCTGTGGTTGAAAACAGACCACATTCAGTTTTGTGCACGCTTAAGGTTTAATTTTTCTCATTAATCTTTTTCAAATAGATAACATGAGAAAAATGTTGTCGGGTGTCACCTCATCCTCCTGGTGCACAAGTGTCCTCAACAGCATCAGGTTTTTGTCTTCAATATGATGCTGTCGTGCCATTCTTCCAAGACAAATGTGGGACTGACTGGTCTTCTAATCGTGAATTTGTATGTCCTGCCAGGCTGCAGGTTCTGGACCATGCAGGTGTCAGAGGAGACAACGTGAAACCCGCGGTATCCCATCTCTGTCTGGCTCCCCGTCAGCAGCTGGAAGTGCAGCTCATACTTTTCGAGGTGTGACTCTGGGTTTTCAGTGCACCACTTGAGCTTGGCACGGTCTTTGCATGCAAATGATTCTTTCCGATCAAAAATCAGTGGCTTCTTTGTACGGAGAGTGAGGCTGATGTTGGGGAGCCCAAGGCCTCCAAGATCTGCGTGTGACACCAAATGGTGCTTGACGTAGAGATTTTCTGGCACTTTCAAGGAAAGGAGAGTTTTCATATACTGGGAGAGCTTGAACATTCTCTGCCTTATCAAGTCCCACTGGGAGAGGAAAGTTCCCATGTCACAGGTCTCTATGTAACAGATCAGCTCCTCCCGACCTCGTTCCAGCTGTTCCAGCAGCTCAGCTGAAAGCAACAGCAGGATTTCAATCTGTTTTTTCCCCACCTCCCGCACCTTCTGGAAGCGGCAGTTGTCGATGAGTTGGAAGATGTCGGTGTGAAAGATCAAGTCGTTCTCTTGTATCACACTCACGTGTGTGGGCTCAACCTCCAGGTAAAAGTAACACTTCTTCAGCAGCTCAGCCTTGTTCTGCTGGTCCTGGAGGTGGTGGAGGCTCAGGTCAGTGTGCAGGGCTTGCACAACCAGGTTTTTCCTTTCCAAATACTTCTCCCAGCTGGCATTGTCTTGTTGCTCTTGACTGCAGGCAGTAGCCTCTGAGCTGGTTTCAAATTCATTCAAAATCCCAGCCATGATTCCAAAGCTCAGTTGCTGTGTAAGAAAGCAGCAATAACAACATCATTAAGAACCAAAAGAAAAGCAGCTGGGAGGGAGGATGATCTTGGCTGTGACTCTTCTAACTACAGCTGAGGTTATAAATCTGTAGATGGGAAATAACAGTTAGACTAAGTGTAGTTCCTGAGGAATTTTCATTTATACTTGTATGGTTTCTAATGTTCTGTAGAGTCTTTTCTAGATTTACTTCAACCAACTGGTCTCCTGCTGCCCCCCTTGAGGGGTTCTACCTCTGCTTAATAGATTCACTGTTGGGAACTATTTTCTAATATATCCTGCCAAAATTTCTCCCTATCTTATTTTGGGTTTCACTCTAATTAGATGCCTTTGTACTCCTGCAAGCAATTTCTTTTCTTTCTTCTACATCTCTGAACTTGTCTGGTTTTCTCTCCTTGTAACCTGCCAGGCTGTTGAGGTTTGAGACCCATCTTCTGAGCTGGTTCCTCCAGCTACACAGTCACCTTGGTGATTCAAATCAACCCCCTGCCCCCCAGGTGAGCAGCAGGCAGCCCCTCCCAGCAGCTTTCACAAGGAATGCTGGTGTTTGTCCTGGCACCTCTGCCTTCAGCAGTGGGCTGGCAGCCACAACCTGACCATGCTTTTGGTCATGCATTGCTTTCCTTTTCTTGTAGTTTACATCACCTGGATCCATGATATCTACTTGCTTTCTTGGAGAAGCTGTCAGTCTATAAATCATACAAGAGGACGAAACCCACATAAAGCACCTGTGAACAGGTAACAGTTGGCTGTTAAGAAGGTGTTTTGCTAGTGGTCCTTTGTCTGTCCTAGGCTTGGATGCTTCGTTTAGTGGCCAAGCCCTGCTTGGCAGTGCCTGTTCTCTGTTGTGCTGCAGCTGAAGTGCCTCTGGCCCACACAGCTTGTGTATCATAACCATGGCTACACAACTTACTCGTGTATCATAACCAAAAATTAGCTAAAGAAGTGCCTGTGTCCCTGCTGCTGGTGATGTTGTGATTAGAACCCAGGCTGATATGGAGAACGTGGCTTTCCCAAGCTGAACATGCCTAATTTGAAAAAGAAATGCAGAATTCTGAAAGGAAGATTTTGTGACCCCAGTGAGACTGTGATGATCCCAGACTGGGGGGGGACTGGGCAGCTTTCCTCCTTCTAAGTTATTTTCTGGTAATAATTATTTAAGTTATGGTAGTAACTGAGATATTTTAATTTGTACAAGTCTTGTAGAAGCTGGATGGTGATACCTACTTGGCAAAGCAATTTTTCTTAGTCTCATTTTCCCTAAATACGTATCAGACCTGATAACACTTCCTGATAGGAATGTCAGGCACTTGTAAACCTTGGGGCTGTCTGGCCCACAGCTGCACTACAATTCATACTAATCCACTCATTTGCAGCAAGGCTGTTTTTTTTTTCCAAGAGAGCTGTCAGCTGAAAGAAACAAGCTGTATTTCCTTTTCACTGTTTTCTTAAAAAAACCCCAATCCTACCCAGAGGGGAGCAGAGCCAGCTCCTGGCATCCCCCTGTGGGTGCAGCAGGGACAGCACAGGCACCACTCCCTCACCCTGCTTCCAGCACCATTTGGCTCCCCAGAGCTGCTGTTTGCCCACAGACAGAGCTGTGCTTGTGCTTCTTTTTCCCTCTTTTCATACCCCCTTTTGTTTTCTTACCATGCACTCCTGTTCTCCCAGTAGCACTGCAGTGTTTGCAGCCTGGGAGGCTGCAGGAGCTCGGCCTGGGGGCTGCCTGGTCCCCAGGATCCCCCAGGACAGGCCTGGTGAGGTGGAAAGGGGCACCCAGGGGAGCTGCAGTCACCCCAACACCTTTTCCACGGCTCAAACACAGGGCCACAAGCCCTGGACCCTCTGGTAGGGGCCAAGCCTGGGGAGACCCTCTGTGTCCAACCCCAACCCTCTGTGTCTGACCCCAACCCACCGTGTCCAGCCCCACCCCCCCGTGTCCAGCCCCGGGGTGCTGGGACCAGCAGCCCCCTCACAGCCACACGGTGGCCATGGCGACCATTGTGCTCTCATGATGCTGGGGGGTCCCTGCCTGCTCCCCCCAGCCACCCAGCCCTGGGGACAAGGCTCCAGCATCCTGGGCAGGTGTGGGCATCATTCCCTCCTCCTGCACTCAGTTCCCAGCACCTGGAGAGGCGGAGCCCCCTGCACCCCCCTGCACCCCCCACCCTCCCCCCCAAGCCCCCACTCTTTGCCATGATGCTTTCTGCAGTTCTGGGGTGCTGGGGATGTGCCCCACTTGTCCATGAGACTGCAGGGCCCAAGATCATTGTACCTCAGTAATCTGCTCCTCAGCTGCTCCCCTTTGCCCTCCAGTCCTTAGGGAAAGGTGGTACCTTGGGTTGGGTGACACCAGGCTGGCACAGGGGAGAGCAGCTGTCCTGACCTCACAGAGGGGCTGAGGGCTCCACCCAGCAGCACAGAGGGCTCAGCCCAGGAAAGGACCCTGCCCTGAGGGGTTTGTGATCCCTGGGGCATCCAAAAGGCCATTTCCAAATCTCTGCTTCCCTGGGTGAGCACCAGCAAACAAACCCTCCTGCCACTGAGGGGCCTTCGTGCTCCCTGCAATCAAATCTCTGGGTCAGGCTCAGCCCCAGTGCTGCCTTCTACCCTGAGCTGCTGCCTCTCTGCTGAGCTTTCCTAAATGAATGACAGGCAAGATCCACAGCACTTGCCCTGAGCTGCTGCTTGAAGATGAAGGGAGGAGGTGATCTGTCATCTTAAGAAATCAATGCATCTTCTCAAGGCAGCCAGAGCTTACAGTTCCATTTCACAGCTGCCAAGAGATTATACAATTGTCAGGTGTGATTCTCTAGCAGACAAGGAAGATAATAAATATGAGTGAAAGCAGCTGATAGCCTTGCTTGGCAGGGAGGGCTTGCAGAGACCATTTGCTAATAATGCTCAATTTCTGCAGGAAATGGGTGTTCAGAGTCATGTCATGGATCCCAGTTCCATTACCTGTCCTTTTCCCTTGGCCCTGGTGGTCTGGGGGCTTACAGATATACAAACATTCCTGTGGGGATTCAGCAGCCCTCACCTCCTGTTCTGGCCGTGGCCTGTGCCAGATGCCCAGGGAGGAGTTTAAAGGAAGTCCATTGGTGTCCATTCCCCTTAGCACTCTCCCAGCCCAAGATTTCTGAAGATGGGATGGCATCTTTAATACCTCTCAGTGGAGAGCATGTCTGCCTTCAAGCTGCAGAGGTCTGGGCTCTTCAGAGTGCTCCTGTACCCCAGAGCTGACCTGGAAAAGGTGGAGATAGAAGGTGAAAGTATTGGACAGCTGAGCTGAGAACATCAGCTGAGCTGCTCATGCAGCAAAGGTGAAGTCCTGAGCTTAGCAAGCTTTGCTGCTCATTTTGGCAGGGTTAGGATGTGACCCGAGCACTTTCCATGAGCACAGTTTGGGTTTGTTGCTGGAGCTGGGCAGAGACTTTTGCACTGAGCCTGTTTGTACTCCCCATTGTCATGAAAGTTAACCTGCATCCCAAATTGACCATGGAACAATGGAATCCCTTTGCCTGTCCTATCCTGAACAGCTGGTCAAGCTGCTGTCTTGATTTTAGGAATATGAGCATTAACCTGCTCATAATCTGCAGCTGAAATGCTACTGTTCTCAGTAGCTTTGCAACAGGGATCAATTCAACTATGGGATTTTATAGCACTCTATGAATCTCTTTGAATTAATAAAAACACAAGCACTCAAACACCATGTACCCTCTTTTCCCCCCTCTCTCATCAGCTGAGCTATGTTGCAGGGCTGACAGCCATTACCTGCCACGTTTGTCTTTCTGCCCTGTCCTCCTGCTCACAGCATCAAAATAAAGAACTTGTTAGTCCTGTCTTTGAGATCAAGATATAAGTGGACAATTGATTTTCCTCCCTCTTCTCATTAGTGAGTTCTGACACTTGATAAAACATATATTTCTACTCTCAGGGCAAGTAAAACACCCAGATAGTACCTGTCAGAGAGAGCTGGGAGCAGGGATTCATCTTTATGGAAAATCAATAGCTGGAAGAGAGAAATTGGCAGAACCCAAATTAAAAGTCGCTGCCAATTTCTGTCTTCATATTTCATGTCTGCTGCATTTCTGAAACAGTCATTTCACTGCAGAGGAAACCACCACAGGGACAGGGGAGGAGGATGGACTTTGTGTCTGGTTCTTCCTCTGCTGCCTCCAGATGGGACCAGGTGGGTGAAGGTGGCTGTCTGGTGTGGAGCAGCTCTTTGGGTTTGAGATTATCCCAGTCCTGGGGAGAGAGGCTGTTCACCACAAATCTTCCTGCTAGAGCTTGTGTCACCATGGCTGTTGCTGCTCCCAACATCACCAGCTCCTCCAGGGTTCCTGACTGTGTCCCTGCATCCCTGGATGGTTCCCATACCTTGTGCTTGCCTGGCCCCACAGGAGCAGGACTTTGGGAGCAGGGCTGCACTGAGCTGCCCCAGCTCCCACTATCCCAAGGGTGTGACCAATTTGCTCAGTGCTTGCTCCCCAGCACCACTGGTGCCTCACACACCTGAAATAATTTATCCACTCCAGATATATCCCAAGTCTAAATCATGGCTACACACCAGGGAACCTGCTCTGCTCATCAGGCTGGGATTCAGGAGCCTCACTTCGAGAAGGAGGAGGGATGTAAGTTTTCTAAAGAACCTGGGAGGGGGGCAAAACTACCCTCTTGGGATGCAAAAGCCCCAGCTGGACCAGGTCACGAAAGAGTTAATTGTGTCCCCGAGGCAGCAATTATCTCCAGCTCATTACACCCACTGAGGCAGCTGGGGTGGGAGCCCCACGGCAGGGACAATCTGGGGCTGGGGGGCTGCTCTTTGCCTACAGCGGGGTGAGGAGTTTGTGGGGTCACAGGGATTCTCACCTCGGGGGCCTCATCCAGCCCTGGCGCTGGTTGTTCCCTGGGGGCTCCAGGGCTGCTGCAGCCCCATTCGGGGGCAGGACTGCGGG